CTGGCAATGCTCTTACAGAAGCTCGGCCTCAGCCCTTGGAAAGATGCGGGTGAGGGAGGCGCCTTTCAGGGGAGTGTGTGAGTTCCTGGGATGGGGTTCATTTCTGGAGGTGACCCAAGGCCATTGGCCCCATTTCTCTTGATCAGGGTGGGGTTGGGCGAGGAAGGCTCTGTCTGGTGGAAAGCGAGGGAGGGGGGATTGCACAGCAGCAGCAGTTCTGCTGTCAGACCCGTGTCCCTGCGGCTGCCCAAGATACGTGCAGTCCCTGGCTGGGTTCATGTTGGGGGCCGGGGACAGGCCATACCTGCAGCTGGGGACTCTGGGAAGGCAGCACGGTTTCCAGGGCCTGGGGTTCCTGGGGGATAAGCTGGGCAACCACTGAGCCCAGGAGATGGGGGTTCAGGCAAAACAGGGCAAAGGCCAGAGGCAGGGGAGAGCCAGCCTCCGGGGGTAGTATTCTGAGCATGGCATCCAGCACTGGTTATCTGAGAGGAGCATGAAGGGGCTGTTGTCATGGTGACAGGAAGCCCTCCGCTGTGCTGGGTTCGGGGCCAGGGGCCGGTGATGCGTGGGGGAACAACCGAAGAGTGGGCTGCACACTAGGACCCTGGGGGACAGGGGATCAGGGCCTGTGGGGGGCAGCACCTCCTCCCTGGCCTCCCCTTGCAGAGGGAGGCTCCCCCAGGCTTCAGGGACTGAGAGGAGGCTGGCGAGGGGCCTTGAGTTGCCCACCTGTGCTGGCTGGAGCCTTGGGCACATGCCGGCCCATCTCCCAGAACCCCCTCGGGGGGCACCTATAGCCACAGGCTTTGACACACTGATGATGGAGAATAGGGTGTCCTGGGAGGTGGGCCCTGCCTTGGACCCCAATTGCACTAGGGCAGCACCCCAGCTGTGCCCATGTGGGCTCGAGCTGCAAACCGGAGCACTGCTCCCGGGGACTCTGCTTCCATGCCCCCCTGGAATCCTACCCTGAGCATGCATGTTACCATGGGGGCTCAGCACACTCTGGGGGGCATCCTCAGCCCGGGACTGTGCCCGGGGTGGGGCCCTGAGCCGGCTCACCTGGACAGTTCCTCTAGCTTGGACTTGGCATAGTCCAGGCTGTTTCGCTCCACGTGCTCGTGAGGAGTGTGGGCCAGGAGCTCGTGCAGCGTCAGGATGTACCTGGGGATCTGCGGCGAGGAGGGGCAGGGGACAGGGGACGGGAAGGACAGAGGGACAAAGACAGAGCAGCATTGGGAAGGGTTCTCTCAGCTCCGAGGACACCTGCAGGAGGCAGGGCCTGGGGTGCACTGGGGACCAGGAGGGACAGGGCACCCGAGGGAGCTGCCCCCTCGCCTCCCCACGACGCCTGCTCCGGGGGGCAGGACGGGCCTCACCCCGTTCTCCAGGCCGCCCTGAGCGGGCAGGGTAGGGCCAGGGCCCTTTCAGAGGCCTGGCTCTGGCAGCCTCAGGGGTGGTCGGGACAGGCTCAGCCCACCTGGAACATGGGGTAGGTGAGGAAGGTCTCTAGTGTCCTCTCCTCGCAGTCGGGCTTGGCCTCGTAATGCTTGAGCAGCTTGTCGAAGTCGCGGTTCTGCTTGCAGTGGGCCAGGATCTGCAGGCTGTACTGGTGATTGCGCACAAACTCCTGGTAGATGTTGAGCATCGGCAGCAGGATGTCGAACAGGTCGGCTGGAGGGG